ATACCTGGAGTTCGTTAAAGAAAATTGACAATAATTGTATGATGCTAATTCAAGAGCAATAGAGATTTGTCACTCAAAAAAATTAAATAATTATAAAAGATAATTATTTAAAATAGATATTTTTATAATTATTTTAAAAAAAAAAATTAAAATAAGTAGAAATTTTTACGATGTGAAGTCCAAACAAACCTAGATTCTTCTCATTCTTCCTTTTATTAAAAAATTAAAATAAGTAAGAATTTTTACAATTTGATGTGAAGTCCGAACAAACCTAGATTCTTTTCGTTCTTCCTACTATTATTATTGTTATTTTTCCTTTTGTTTTATCTTCTATGGGTCCCACTGTTTCTATAGCCACGGTCACGTGGCTGCTCAACGATTACCACTTTCTGTAACCACGAGAATTTCGCTTCTCTCCTTTGTTTACTTCTTAAACCAACTAGAGTGGATGAGTGTTTCAACGCCTGATCATCATTATAACATTTTGGTCATGATGTCCACGCATCCCACCTCATCGTTTAGAGGGTTAAAAATAATTTCATTATAAATATTTACTTAATCTCATACAATATATATATATATATATTCTCACCATCTCAAATTATAAAAAATTGTTATCCGAAAATAGATATTTTTATAATTTTTTTTCCTAAATAGATATTTTTATAATTAAGTTTTTAGAAAACAATTTTCAAAAAATGAACCAAATAGAATTTTTAATACAATTTTAAGTTTTTCAAGAATAGAAAACTATTTTCATAATTATAAATTAAGCAAACTTAACTTTTTATGATGAATTTTAATATTTTTTTTATTATATTGATAAAAGTGAATTTTTAAATTTATTCTTATAGAAGAAAGAATACTCCGAAATTAGTTATTTATTTAATAAAATAGATATTAAAAGGATAATTTAGGAACTTTATAAAAAGTAGTATACCCATTTTAGGAATAGACAATTAATTTAAGACGAAAAGAATAAAAAAAATAGACAATTAATTTAAGACGAAAAGAATATATAATTTTCCTTAACCATGCAAATGTGTTTTAAAATTTGTAAACATGAAATGCGTGGAAAGCAAGCAACATCATGTTTTGAAAAAGTGGTTCAAGCTCACAAGGATCCACATTACCTTCAAAGAGAGTTTGATAACACTTGTATCCACCAAATATCTAATAAAAAATTAAAATCGAGAAGGTTCAAATTCCATTAGTGACAACATTAAAAAGGTATGTGAAAATTATTTATTAAGGCTCCGTTTGTTTGTTTGGACATAAAATATATTTTTTATTTTTTAGTGTTTGATTGTCGTAAAATATTTACGAAGAAAAAAAATATTAAAATTTAACAAAATTATTTTATTTATAAATTTTCGAAAAATTATTTTACATAGCCTGCCTGATAAACTCGACCTCAATCTCAACGTAAATCTTTGCCAAATACCGACATAGTAAAAATAAAAGAATATTTTACTTGAAAAGGAACATATTTTTTAAAATATTTTATGTCAAAACAAACGAAGTCTAAAAGAAAAACATCACTACACTATTCTTGATTCATACAATTCACATTAAAATAGTAACCAATATGTATGATCAAAATTTGTTTTTCTTGGTATAAATGATGAAAAATGGATGATCGATGATAAGAAAGAAAACGTCCCTAAAGTTGTTTTGACTACTAGCTTATTTGGCTTATTGCAACCGGTTCCGTGAACTAAAATTGTTTTGGCTACTAGCTTATTTGGCAAACTCCCGGTTTTTTTATTTAATTAATCCTAGCTGCTTCCTATTACTTCCTACTAGTTTAAATAAAGTAGAGTCAGTAGACAAACCAGAATCACATAATAATTTATCTTCTGCTGTAACTTGGGTTGGGCCTCTTGTGGCCAGTTCTTATAATTTATTTGGGCTGTCTGTTTGGACTTTTTCTTTGCCCTCCTGGCCTTTTTACGTTTCTGGGCCTTTAGGTGTATATATAATTTTTTTCCCCCCTTGCTACGATATTCCGAAACAGCCCAACTTTGGAATCAAAGGCTGTAGAGTCTTTGGTTCGAGAAATAGTTTCACCATTACATAAAATAATAATAATAATAATAGTTGAATTCTCTACAAATTATAACAAAAAAATCTATTTTCAATAAATGATTAATAATGACTATGACAATTACATAAAGTGATCACAGAAAGAATAAATAATCATCAGACAAGCCCATCAAATAGTTGTGATGGCTTGCTTTTATCAATTACAGGCATTGACAAATTAGTCGTGTATATATATATTTCTAAAATAAACAATTCTAAGTATACCCATGAATCCAGTGCTAGAATTTCTTCTAGGCATAGCTGCACATTCCATAAACACACGAACCCCCTTTCTTGCACTTAGTGTTGCATCCCCCACAGTGCTTCTTGTTGGACAATGGGTTCACACACACACCTTTGCAACATATCTCCGAGTACTTGCATTTCTTCCCACACATGCCACAGTTGAGTCTGTCTGTCTTCACATTCACACATTTCTTTTTGCAGCAATCTGGCCCCGGACTGCCCTTGGCACGACACACTCTAGGATACTTGTTGCATGTCATTGTCGCACGCGGTGTTTGGGCAAGAAAACGGCCAGTCCCACGAAGAGATGTTGGTAGTACTTCTTCACTTTCCGGCAGAGGAACGTCAGAGGTCTCGGTTTGAGCATCTTCATCATCGTCATCAATAAACACCTCTTCTTCCGTAGGTGTTGCTAAAAGTGTTGTAGCTAAAGCCATTAGCATTACCAACATCAAGAACACCTTTAGGCACTTCATTTTTGTTGATCTTCTTGTATATATATGTGACAGAGATTTAAAATGAAGAGATAGATGAAGAATGGTTTGTGTTGATTATGGAGGTTGATGATGAGAGTATTTATAGAGAGGTATAGAGGAGTCTAGTACTAATACACGTGGTTATAGTCCATTGTTTAATATTGTTAGTGGAGTGGTCTTATTAGGGCTACAAAGAAATATTTTATGTCTTCCAAATTAGGGAACAATATAGAATTCAAACCTTATAATAAATACTTTTATATATAGGTAAGTGGACCTCTACCACTACATTGACCTTCCTTGTTTGATTTGTCTAATCTACACCATCTTTTCCTGTTACTAATTACTGTTGTTTATTGGTGATCAAAGTCAAATCATATTCTTCGATCATTTATATATTTATTAAAGAAATCAAAGCCGTACTAACATGAGTAGCTGGTAGTATATAAGTATTACTATAATACTTACACAGTTACATTCATCATTAATTGTGATAAAAAAATTCTTTTTAGATTGTGACTGATCTCCTTTGTACAAAAATTATTCTTTGATTTACACGGGTAAAGTTTTTTTTTCTTTAGATCACCAACAGTCTAAGCACAGATAGTACCTCATATTATATATCCTGTTGTTCCTTGCAATAAAATAAAAAATAAAAAGTGGTCTTTAATTAGACGGCAAGATCAAGTCCATATTGTTCGAAATATTAATATAATTCTCATTTTGGGTCACTTCGATTTTCAATCTATTCTTATAATATTATGTTTTGACTTCTATTTATTAATTAAAACTTTGGACTTTGCTCTGCATGATCGACCAATAGGGCCGAAGCACTAAAGCTAGAAAAATTGGGCAATCACATATAAATTACGCGCAGGAATAATTGGGCAATCGTAGAAATTAGAGGCAATCGTAGAAATTAGACATACTTATTGAGGATACAGTAGTTTGAGATATTTGACTAAATTTATGTACGTAATGACAGTTATGATAACATTGTAATTTGATATATCGCACTTTTTAGACTATTGATTATATTAATAATATTAATTAGACTGAACGAAGCCTCATAGCTATTTGGATTCCCTAATTTTTTTATTTTTATTTATTTTTTCTCTTTTTATTTCAAGGACTAAAAGTTGGATAACAAATGTCTACTTAAATTTTTTTTTTTTTTGAAAAATAAAAACTGATTGGATTCTTGTCATCTTGACATCACGGCGCCACTTCATTTATTAGTAGGATGATTATATCGCATCAACATACTCACACGATGTAACAAGTTGGGTGTTTTGTGATCTAACCTCATCTATATTTATTTCATTTTTCATCGAAATGTTATGTGGGACAAACTTCTAACATTCTCTTTCATCCGAACTAGCAACGCTTTGCCAGATCAAAGAATAAGGCCTACTCTAATACCAGCTTATCACTGATCAAGAAATAAAAATTTAACGGACCAAAAAATGAGTCATACTCTGATACCAGCTTATCACTGATCAAGGAATAAAAATTTAACACTACTGTATAAGCATTCTAGAGAATTCTGTAATGGTACTAGTTGTTTAGAGTTTTGTAGAGTATTTATGATGGGGCATGTGAATAGGATCGGATCGAGTAGAATATTTTAGGCATTTTGTATGTGTAGGTTATTTTAGAATATTTTTACGTTAAGGAGGGGCGATATCTATAATCTATAAAGAGAGGGAAAATGCCTTAAAAGATTAAACAACTTATCTTCAAATTACCTTCCTATAGCCTCACTTTACGTTTCCGAGCACTCTTGTAGACATTTTTCATCAATTTGATCCACAGTAGGTTTGTTCCAAGCAATATGTATCTTTTCTCGGGTGATCCTACACCCATTTCTCTGCCAAAGTTGTACGTCTTGTTTTGAAATTGAATGAGTTGAGACCGGTACACCCTATACATATAATAATCTATGGAGTTTGTTACACTTAATTTGAATTTGAGCATTTAATTTTATTTATTGAAAAAAATAAATAGTTTTCAAAAAGAGAAAAAAGAATTACATTTAAATAATTAATCTGAAATATAAAGCAAATTTATAAATTCTGCACGGATCCTACTAATTACCACCAATATGGTACCATAATAATAATGGTGATCGAACACAACTCGTGGATGACTTACTTTTATTATTTTAATTAATAATAATGAACACAACTCGCTTTTATTATTTCACACAATAATGGTGAACACAACTTGTGAGATTAACAAAGAGATGGACACGCAGATATACATACATAAAATAGATAGATATATGTATATGTAACGTGAATGCTAGAAGATGTAACAAGCATTTCTAAATTCTAAGCGTAGCTGCACATCCCGTATACGCATGAGCTTCCTTTCTTGCACTTCTTGTTGCACTTCCCACAATTCTTCTCATCCACAGATGGATTCACACATTGGCCTTGGCAACACAACTCCGAGTACTTGCACTTCTTCCCACACTTCCCGCAGTTAAGCTCATCACTCATCACATTAACACATTGCTTGTTGCAGCAGTCCCGGCCCTGACTGCCCTTGGCAGCACAAACTCTAGGGTACTTGTCACATGTCATGGTAGTGGCACGGGGACTCTGGCCGGCAAGAAAGCGAGCTGTCCCTCTCAGAGAAGATAGCTCACGGATTTCATGAAAATGGAGGTCAGAAGAAGAATCATCTTCCTTAACATGGACAAGTACTGATTCTTCTTCACTTGTTGGTGTTGCAAAAAGAGTAATGGTTGTGGCCATCAATACAAGCAAGGCAAACCAAATCTTTGATGACTCCATAGAATGCAAGCTACGATGTATGAGTGCTAGAGAGATGGGAGACAGAGGTGAATACTTAGTTCTTAATGATAACAGTGTAAGGATGCATGGCAAGATATTTATAGACAAAACCCTAGAGAGCTATATGTGATTTTGGTTAATGGTAGTCCTCATCAGTTGTTGCATATATTTTTCAACTAAATGGAAGTTAGGCTTGAGAAAATTAATTCCAAGCTCAAATGGATTATGGAAAATGAGGAAAAGGGGATGAACTATAAAATTGTGGTGTATATACAGCTTGTGGTATATTATATGTTAGTCACCAGAAATTTCGCTGGTCGCTAGCAGAAATGCATGCTTGCTTTGGATAGGGGAGTGATGAGTCATTGTATTCAATTTTTTAAATTTTTTTTATTTAAAATTTTTTGTATACCATGGCAATAAACTTATATGCACCTATGTAGTTTGCCATTACCAGAACTCTTGAACACTCAAAATTTTACTATGAAATGTGAGACAACTTGTAGCCATATAAACTTTGGTCTCAATGTTTTATTTATTTATTTATTATTATTATATTTTATTATTTTTCTCTAAAAAGTGAACACTCAAACCAAACTTTGGTCTCAATGTTTTTTTTTCTTTTTACCCTCACTTTGATTTGGTAAGTAGAGGCGTATTATATCTCTTTGGGTTGAGCCTAATTCCCTCCAAACACGTGACAGATCCTAATGTAACATGTCTATTTTAATCCAGATTAAGGCTAAGTAAAGTCTAAAATGAAGTGGGTTTGACAAATCGATGTTAATTGACTTGAATTTTAATTTTGAATCAGAATTCAATATTGTCGCGCAAAAATGAATTTTCATTGAAAATTCCACTGAGAATTTAAATTGGATAAGAATATCGATTTTCTTAAATGAATCAAATTTTACCCGAAATTTGATACAAAAGCTAATATGTTTTACTCATATTTGAATTATGTTTAAATTATTCAAATTAGATATTGATCAGATTTCTTACATTCCAAAGTAGAATTAGAGGTTTCAACTTTCAAGTCCCCCTAGGGACCATAAACCCTAAATATATATATATACCAATGGACCATTGGTAACCCTCAACCTCTTCCACAAGAGAATAAGGAGATGCCAAGTACGTACTTCAACTATAAACATGTATATTAATTAGTTATGATCACTTATAATACATTCACCACTTGTACATGATAACTAGAAGACATTGAACTTTTTCACCATTTTTTGAACGCATAAGGATCCTCTCCAACGTTGAACCTTTTCTGCACAGAATTTAATGGTTGAAATTGAATTGATAAATGGAACCCACTAGTAATGATGCAATCTCAACCACTAAATTATGTACATGAGAGATTCAGTGCTAGAGAGGATCCTTGTCCCTTGAACATCGCCAAAGTTTGCCTTTTTCTTTCTCTTTATAGCTTTAATAACTAAACTTTAAAAAGTGACTACATAATTGGTCGTGTTTCATCAATAAATACGTGTGTATTAAGAACCCAAATGACAAAAAATTGAGGTGACTTTGGCAAAATTAAATTGTCAAAACAGGTGGGCCGGATTAGTTTACTTGCAAATAAAAGCCCCACGTTTCAATCACAGATTTAACACAAGCACTTATAATTCAGTTACAGAAGCACTTATAATCCGTCGCTATATCTACGCGGCCTTTTTAGATTGCGTTCACGTCTTTGGCGCGACTTGACTTTCTTTGGGTCAGTACGTTTGGCTAGTCCTCAATGTGGATCTGGATCATTATAAGTTTTCAGAACCAAATTAGCTTGTGAAATGCAAAAATTGGGACCCCCTGTTCATTTCATCAAACTTACATCATATAAAGGGGTATATGATACAGATGTTGTATGCATAATTCCAATCAAGTTGAATTTAAACCAATTTCGAGGAAAGTGTTAGCCAAACACTGCCTATTTTTTGTGCTCTAATTTCTTGTTTCAGCCAAGCAATAGACTCAAAATTGTAGTTGAATTTTCAATTCCAGGGTCCAATCCAGACACATACGGTCCTGAATATGATGATGAATCATTTACATGCATCACGGACCACTTCATCATGGCTTTGGTTGGGCCTTTTTTTTTTTTTTTTTTTTGGTGTATTGGGCTAGTTTGTTTAGCTTGGGTTAGCTTCTGGGCTTAATTATTTTAGGCCCGACTTTGTACACTTTTTAATATTTTTTTTTTTTTTTTTTTTTTCCACTTTTGTTTTATCTTCTATAAATAGCTAGCTAGTTAACTTGCCCTTATTGCCTTTTCTCATCTCAATATCATTTATTTTTATTTTTTTCCCCACTTGACTTTATTTAGCTAGCTAGTTACTTATTTTTGATAATTATACAAGGAAGGTTACATAGAAATTCATTATTAATTATCCAACAATAAATAAATAAAAAATCATCGGCAGAAATTGAGTTTATATATTAAAATGGTTTCCCTGAGGAATTGAATTCAGTGTACCTTCCGCAAGAACCTTTTCATGTTGACCAAAGAAGGCTTCATAGAAATCAAGATTAAAACCCACGGTACATATTTGCTGATGTGGTCATGTGATACAAAATCAGAAAAACATCTTGCTCTTTGACTATTGCTGGATTATGAAAGAAGAAACACTTTTGCATTAAAAATAAAATGAGTTAGAAAGAAAATCACATCCAGTCTTAATAGTTTAACCTAGAATGTTAGTTAAAAGTTTCTTCTCGATTGAATGTATCAAAGTTTTGACCTTATTCGAAAGATAAATTCCTCCGCTGAACTTTTCTATTAAATTATTAGGTGTGAGAATTATCTCTTTGATAAATGTTAAGTCAACTGAACTCGTTCTGGTTTTGTCTCCCAATAGGAAGCAAATTCTTCGATCTCTATTTCGGGCGTATGTAATTCGTTCATCTTTAGTCCGACTTCACAAGCACAGTTCTTAACTTTTTTTGATATCTGAATTGTATAATAGGACCAACAAATCCAAGGGATGTGGGTACCAACAAATTCAAAAATTTGTACAGATGAAACAATTATGACTGTGCTTGACACAGCTCCATCAATTTTACAACCCGACATGAAATCATACAAATATAGATGCATCATAAAGTCGTTATTAACTAGTGGTATGTTCCACAGCTCAAATTATGATCATTATTCAGTGGCTTAATTAGTAGAGTGTCCAGCTTTCCGAGTTGGTACACCCGTGTTCAAGTCCCCTCTCCTAATTTTTCAAAAAAAAAAAAAAAAAAAAAAGAAGAAAAGATCTTTCCAGCATTTTTTTTTTCTAATTACAGTGATACCTAATTAATAGGATTAAACCAAAGTCATCATTTCGTAGTCATTTTTGCTCTCATAAGAGAGAAATTTTGATTTACCCAATGTATGTATTATCACAAGCTCATGTTTTCATTTTGGAAAACAAGCTTTGAATAGGAACAAAACTAAATGGTTGTGCAAGTAGATTAATCAGCTGGTAACAACACAATATAAATAATTCACGTAGTTGTAGTGGTGTTCAAGCATAGTTACACATTCCATACACACACAACTCCCCCTTCTTGCACTTCTTATTGCAGCCACCACAATGCCTTTTATCAAATGATGCATTCACACAACTCCCTCTGCAACAGGTCTCAGTGTACTTGCACTTGTAGCCACACATCCCACAGTTCAACCGATCCGTCTTCACGTTGACACATTTCTTCTTGCAGCAATCCGGCCCAGCGCTGCCTTTCAGACGACAAACTCGTGGGAACTTGTCACAAGTATAATTGGCCGGCAGCTTCTGCAGTGCAAGAAACCGGCTCAGCCCACGTAGAGAAGTAGTTTCTTCAATTTCATACGTGTTTAAGCCATCGTCATAGTCATCTGAGCTAGATGCTGCAACAATAGTAGTTGTAGTTGTTGCTGAGAGTATGAAGAAGATGATTAGAAGCTTCATGGCTGAGAAAGGAAGTGTAGGTATTGGGAGGAAATAGAGAAGGGATTTTATAGAGACATATTAGGCTGGAGAGTTGACAATAGGAAAATGAAGTTACAAGTCTTGCTTTTTGTGTGTGGTCTCAATTCAAATGATCAACTATTTCCTTAGAAAATAAATTGTTGATTGGAAGCCAAGAAAAGTTGGCCTAATATAGATTCTGTATCCCCAGTATGAAGGAAAATGGCAATGAGGATGCCATATAATTCTGTTATTAATTACAGCCAATCATATCACCAAATTAAGGGGTATTTAGTTCTTTAATTCACCTATAAGTATGGGGATTTAGTGTAAATGCACACAGAGAAGCCGGCAGAGTGCTCTTGCCCTGCAAGTGAGCAAGCTTAATGAGGTAAATCAAGCATGACTTTGATTTGGCTTTGCTCAATTAACTGTCTTAAAGTTGAAGCAACATTGAACAAATTTGCTTTTTTTTTTTGACAGTTCTAATTTCACTTGAATGTTAAATCATCTCATGGCTTGCACAGGCATTTTGCATACACGAGCTCGAATTTTAATTTTAACAGAAGGAAAAGAGAAAAAAAAAAAAAAAAAAGTTCATGGACATACATACCAAAGTCAAGTTTGGAAAGCAAAAAAGCTAAAGAGAAGGAACAAAATCAGTTTTGTCCTTGTACTATTAAAACAATGGACAGCTATTTCCCTAGTGTAGCAAGTAAAGAATATATTCTGATTAGTTCAATAGAGTACTTAAGGCATATTCTAAGTCAGAATTTCAATGTCCAACATCAATTAATCTATGTTGGATCATAAACTAGTTTACATTTCTCAAAATTTCATGTTATTTTCGACTAGAAATCAAAGAAACTAAATAAATCACCTGGGGGACTTTTGAAAGTTCTGCAGGTATGACGAGGAGGAGGGGTGGTTGAGAGATTCAATGACTTCTTCACGCGGCCTTATAATTCTCTGTATCATCTTCTTCCTCTCTTCTGTCAATGCCAATACCTCTTTATACTCTCAGGAGTGCCCTCCTGCAAATATGAATAAAGGCATTAGACCACGCCAAGTCCAGTCCTCCTATACAGAAGAAATGGCGCCCAAGATGCATACCGGTTCTCTTCAGAACACGAATGGCGAAGTGACAATGAATTTAAGATCATGGAAGAGCCAACACGCCGCGCATCACCATCCTCACCTAAGACTTGTAAGTGCTCAATTGAATCGATCAACGAACAATACTTTAGTCCATGCTTAGTTATCTACATTTTGAACTTTGGTTAACAGGTTCATGGGATTATAAACATAATAGCATGGGGGATGCTCTTGCCCGTTGGAGTAATCATAGCCAGGTACTGCAGAAAACCGCCCATGAACTGCGGCGAATGGTATTCGCTTCACATTTTGTGTCAATTTTCAGGATATTTTCTCGGATCAATCGGATGGGGCATTGGTTTGTGGCTCAAAAAGTCTTCCAAACACTCCACTTTGACAACACATGGTATTTTGGGCACCGTTTTATTTGCATTGGCAACCATACAAGTAAGAAAAAAATAATTCTCTCAAACCCTTCTCAACTCGATCAATGTTGTTGTTTTCTTCTTAAGATTGTGTATTTTCACTATTCAGGTTCTGGGAATTTTCTGTTTCCCGCCAAGAGAAGAAAATAAAGGTCACAAGTACTGGAAAATATACCATCATCTTCTGGGATATGCATTGATTGCTCTGATTATAGCTAATATATTTCAAGGGATTAACAATCAAAGTTCAGAAGATAAATGGAGGTGGTCTTACTCCGGAATTCTCGGAGTTTTGGCTTCAACTGCTCTAGCATTGGAAATTTGCAGATGGAAGAAGTGCATAAATCACCATGCCATGTTTTTTATTAGCAGTGCATATACTCATTCATGATTTATTTTATTTATTTATTTTTTATTATTTTTGGGTTCTTTTTGCTTTTATATTTCTTTCCATTATTATTCTTTTTCTGTATTTATTTCAATGAAAATTGAATTGGAAGAGTGTCACCAAGGATTCATGCTCATGAGGCCAGGATGCAATGCCAGTAAAACATATGTTGTTCCACATCTTTTTAATTTCCAAATAATTGAAAATTTTATATGAAAAAAAGAGATTACTAAATCTTCGCTAGGTCCAATTAATCAATTATATTACTTTGGGCAGGAATGTTAATTAATTATTTGGCAAACAAATTGCAGTAAAACTAACGTCTTTCCTCCTCAATGTTCTAATTTTGTTGATAATTAAGCCAATACTTTTATGTTAACAAATTTTAAATGTATTCTTAAATAATATAAAATTTTAATAAATGAGTTAAACGAATTGATAGATTATAATCATTGCCCAATGACCAAATTTTAACCCCCAGATTTCGCGATTCATTCCAGTTTGCGAGATGGAGGAGTTAGGTGAATTTTTTTTATTTTTTTCAAAGACAGGTGTATTGGTTATAGCCTAAGTCACATAAAGCGGGAACGGAAGGGTGTGAGAATGGCAGAATTAATGTTATATTGGGTGTGCAGGAATGAAATGAAATGACCATTCCATTGGAATGAAAATCCATTCTATTACTAAACCTATGGAATGTCATTCCATTTCATAGTAAGATTAAATATTTTTATAATATTTCCAATAAACCCTTCATCACTATAACGACCCTAAACTGTTACCATTTAAATAAAAAAAAAAATTCGGCATGACTTCCCCTAAAAAATGTGTCTACCACAACTTGTTTAAAAGAATTTTAAACCTGTCCCAACACAAATATCATATAATACACTCCATGGTGGTACAACCACATACTATATCTGTAATACCACGATATTTTTAAAGGATTTATTAATTAGGATTAATTATTTTATTTTATTTTTCAATAATTTATTTTATTTTATTGAGTGCTAGATTAATTATCTTATTTTAATTAAGTTATATTTCATGATTATGTATGATGATTGTTATGTGTGTATTTAATTATTGATTGAATTATTGATGTGTTGATTTTATTGGTATGGTGTGACTTGATTGTAAATTCTTGTTTGTTTATATGTTTCATGTAATTAGCTATTTTAATTTAAGTATTTATTTAATTATTTTATTTATTTAAATTAATTGGACTGGGCTTAAGGGAAATTGGACCAAAGGATATGGTCTTGGACTTGAATGAAGCTTCATTGGGTTAATTATTAAAGCCCATGGTTTGTGATTATTTAAAATAATCATTTTTGTATAATTATAACTATATATTTAATTATATATAAATATAATTAATTAATTAGTGTTACAGAAGGATATATATATATATATATATAGATATATATTTATGGATATATATTAGGATATATGATTTAATTAATCCATAGTTAATTATGGAAGATATATATATCTTCCATAATTAACTATGGATTAATTAAATCATATATCCTAATATATATCCATAAATATATATCTATATATATATATATATATAGGTAATATAATATATGTTTATATATATTATATTATTTAAAAGATAATTATTATTATTTTTATTTCGTAATCCTAGTAGGAATAGGGTCAGGATAATTAATGTGTATAAATATACACATAAGGTTTTATTGTTAAAAATTTTACACGTTAGAAAAATAAGAGAGACAGAGAGAGAAGAAGAAGAAAAGGCTGATAACGAAGGGGCCGGATCTGAGAAAGAGGACGTCGGGATTGGAAGAGTCAATCAAAGCTTGAAGCGTCGGTTTCATTTCGAAACTTTCAGGCGAGTTTTCTCTAATTTTCCTCTTAGAACTCATAAGGGTTTCACCTTGAGTATCAAAATTAAGATTAAATTTATTGGTTTAAAAATCATGGTTAGATCGGATTAATTAAAAGAATGAATTATTATATTTTGTTTTCTTTTAACTTTGGATTTTAAATTGTTGATGTATGTGTGATATTTATGTTTAAATTCAACTGTTTTATTTGATCTATGATCAGAAAGGTTATTTAGGGTTTATAGATTTTCTGGGAATTTTTTATATTTTTCTGGAATTTTCTGGTAATTTTATATATTTTTTTGGAATTATATTTGATTTATGGATAATATTTGTTTGGAAAATACATAAATATATATACTGTGTATATACTGGCGGCTGGGTTAAACAGGGCATCAAAAAGGGGGTTATAGTTTGGTGTGGTGCAACACACAATAACTTTGTGTGCGTGTGAATCAGAGCCTTTGAGAATTAAAAATAATACATAGATTAATTCAGTGTGGTACGACGCATGGAACTATGGTGTGCAACAAGTCAGAGGCCATTGAATGCAATTTGATCAATGGAATAGATCTGGTGTGTTGCGAGTAACATTAATATGGTGCGCGCAAGATTTGGAGGGCTGAGATGCGCCGATGGGGAGCGGCTGATCCGGTGTGGTACGCTCATGCGGTAGCGAGGAGAGTAGCCAATCAAAGTACGCCACATCAGCCAGAAGAAGGAACAGGCGCGTAGTAGCGCGTGTAACTCGTGTGGGGGTGCGTGATGGAACCTGCCAGCTAGGGTGGCGCATAGAAGCGCGTGAGAGGTGTTTAGGAGCGTGTGGTGGCGCGTGGGGGTGCGTGAAGCACTGTTTAGGGTCCTGTTAAGGTCCTTTGAGGTCCAGTGAATTTCCAGAATTGGTTTTAAGGCCGTTGGGGTTGAAATAACCACTAGAGGAGGTATTCTTGGTATCCTAAAAGGCATAGAGTGTTACTATAATGATTGGTAGCATTTATTTTGCGTAAATATAATAACTTATTATATTGTTATGGAATGTGGTGTATATATGTATATAATATAATTACATATGTATACGTGTATACATGGACTTTATTAAAGTATAATCAGTGTGTATATATATATATATATATATCTAAGATTTAAAAAATCAAGGATTATTAGGGAAAGATTATACACATATATATTATATAATATATGTGTATATATATGTATTTTAATTAAGATTGTGATATGCTTACAATTTGCATGAGATGGCTATGTATGAATTAACTATCATTGAGTCTACAGTTGGTATATGATTGAATTGTAGGCATGGATGAGTTGCCATAGGTGTAAATATATATTGCCTAAGTATATGTATGAATAAAATATAAATAGGAAGCATGAATGAATTGCTAAGTTAAAAGTATAACTATATATACTTAAGGAGGCATGGTTGAGTTGCCAATATATAAATGGATACATTTTTAACGGCATGGTTGAATTGCCAGTGTATAAACAAATATATTTATAATGGCATGGTTGATTTGCCAGAGGGTAATTAAATTGCTATGTGCTAGATGATTAAATTTCATCTATGGTTATAGTATGTATAAATTGGATTATGATTAGATATTCTTAAATTAGATTAATCTAGTAGCTACATGTTAGTGTATTATTTTATATATTTTAATAAAATAATATTGGTAGAGACATGAATGATTTATCAAGCCTGAGTATTGGCTGTATGGTTTAAATAATTAAATTCATTATTGGCTTTTGGATTAAATATAGGTTTTTCTTGAATGATATTTTACTATTTAAATGATTAAATAATTATTTAGAATGGAGTTAAGGTTAAAGGGGTTTCTCTTTAAAAGAGAATGAGTTTTTAGTTGGTTTAGGTGTGATTATGTTTAATCATGATTTAATGGTTTTGAAAATTAATGGAACTATTAATGAAAGGAAATGTTATACTGTATATAACTATTTATACATATGCATATCATTGTTTATTAAACTTAAAACTTTATTAGGTTTAGTTTTGATCAGAGATGATCTACTTATTAGTTTTCAGAAGTCTGGAAGAGAGAACTTGCTCGTAGGGTTTAACCCACGATTTATTTTTCAGGTTATTAGAGGTTCCAGTCTCGAAGTTGAGGATCCGCAGCTGGGAGACTATCACTCATCTATTCATCTTGTGTATTTTTAAGTAGTATTGGATTATTAAATAATGTTTTAAGGGGTGCTTGAATTATGGGATTCCCGAGTTGTAATTGTTGGAGGGTTATTAATTAACGGAAATTATTATTTATTAGTTTTTCTTCAGCGTATTATTTATTCATTTGTTTTATTTTGTAATCAGTGCTTGTTTAAATACTTTAATTGTTTTGATATCCCCTGATTTTGTGCGCCGACCTGATCAACCCGTGTTCCAAAATCAGGGGGTATCACAGTTGGTATCAGAGCACTCCAGGTTCAAGTGTCCCTAGGGTGTCTTTCATTATGTGACTTCCGCGTTGTGTATTCTTTTACTTAGAGCTTAAGTTTGGGATTCATTGTATTCTATATTCGGTTCATTAGTGCGTCATAAAATTAAATCGTTTAGTCTTGTCAATAAATGGTAGGACATCGATTTGGAAGGTATTTGAGGAGGTAAGAGCGTAGGTGCCAGGATTGTATGCTAAATTAGTATGAAGGGAGACGATCTTTTATCGTGGAAACTGATTTAATGGCATAGACCATGAAAGTCGATAGTTTGTATTCACACAGTAAACACATGTGCAAGATAGAGTAGATAACTGAATTATGGAAAGTTATTACTTATACACTTAGTGTTGTTCAGGGAGGATGAGTGTAGTTACAGAATTGGTTTTTAAGTTCCGTTTTGAGGATTGGGGTGTTCCAAAGTTATTTAGATCAAATTAGGTGATTTAAATGGTTGAAATCGACCGGTTAAAATCTCAGAATGCATAATATACATTAATATGCTAAGGACTTGAACCATATGGAATTTTAATTAACTTACATGTTGTGAATGAAGGATTTATTTACTTAATATTATTCTAGAAATTTCAATGTCTATTTATGTGATTTTAATCATGTATTGGCATATAGTATAATCATGTATTTATCGGATTTTTATTATAATTACTTCTAGATTATTTGATGTATAATTATATAGGTTGCATGAAGTATGGGTTTTATGGATTGATGCACCATTAAAATAATATGGAGGTATTATAGGGACGGATTAACGGAATAGTTAAGTCCTACCTATTTATTTATAGATAGTATGGTTTAATGCACCAATATGGGACGGTGGCATTTCAGGGACGGATTAACCAAAGAAGTTAAGTCCTACCTATATATTTATAAGGAAACAGATTAATCATA